GATTGGGAGGAAGGGGAAAAAAAAATTAAAAATCAACAGAGATGCTTGTTTGACATCTACACTGCTTGCATGCTTTTTATGTACCTTGTCTGAATTCAGCTTTCCTAGGAATTTCTGCAAGATAGCAGTTTGGCAAAGGGAATGATGAAAACATTGGCCAAGGATATGGATCACTGCCCTAGAAACAGGACCAGAAATAAATTAATTTAGGAGAAGAATTAATAGCATTTGGTCAATAACACACAGGTAAAGTTCCCAGAATTATTGCCTACGCAACAAAATTATGCTTGACACTACAATATGCAATGAGATATTCCAGCACTAAAAAAAAAAAAAAGTTAAAGGATACAAAATCGAAAAAGCATTTGAGCCAGAATTTTTTCCAGTATATACCACTGACAGTTTTGATTTTACAGTACTTTTTTTCAACCAAAAAGGAAATGGCAGATTTTATAAAAATTAAAAAAAAAAACCAACAACCCACCAAACTCTATTTCCAATTTTATACACTGATCTAGCTATCTTTGCTGTGCTGACGGTAATTTGCATTTTATCTTTATAAGACTGACAGCCACTGAGAAACAGAACATTTAAAGGAGTTGCTTAACAAACACTGTATTGTTAAGAACATGGATGAAAGCTCCAGGTATTAGATACTGCAGATGAAATCCCAAGATCCCAAGCACAGAAAAAAAAAACCCAAAGAAATATAAAAGTAAAAAAAAAGACAAATTGCATTCACTTTTATAGTAAGAAAAGTAACATTAAAAATGGAGCAATATAAACACCTCATCCAAACGCGTTATGTCGTAGGCACATGCCAATCCCCAGACAGTGGGAACAATGTATTTTTTCAGTGTATCACTCTTAAAAATTTTAGCTCTTTATAAAGTTAAAGGTGGGCTGTTAAATAATTTTCCACATTCTGAATTATCAGCAAAAATGTTCAATTAATGAAGGCAGGAGTTATGGAAAGTGAAACTGTTAAACTTTAGATTCTAACCTTATCTAGCACTCTCAAAGGCAAAATCCTTTCCTGTGGTCCTCCAATCAGATTTATCCTTACAAGAACATGGTTCCTCTCCACTGACAGACCATCAATTATAAAATCTCTGGAGGGAAAAAACAAACAAACAAACCAACCCCAAAAAACTTCAAAAATCAGAACAACTTTGATTTACTGACTGCTTAATTCGGCAAACTTTAATGAGCAAGAATACCTTAAGAGACATACCGGATTTAAAACACAACCTGGAAAACACACAGGCATAAAGAAATAAACAGAAACATGAAGTATTTTGAGATGTCTGCAAGCATTATCTTAACTTCACACTTCCTCACCTACCGCTGATTGGAAACATCTGAGCAATTAGAGGACACAGAAGAGTAGAAAACTTTGTGAGCTTTGTTACACCCACATGCTCAGTAATTAGGGCAGAGACAGTTAATGGACCATCAAAATTTACTCTTTATTTGGCCTAACAGCAAACTTCTGCTGTCACAAATAAGCAGGATTATTCATAACTTAACACACAGTCAACTTGCTGGCTGAAGTCACTGTGTAGCCCAAGGTATAAAATTTTTTTAAAGGGATAAAATCTGTTTTTATACACCAAGCTTCTTACAACTTTTTCCTTCGTAAGGAAACAGTAGGTTTCATCTTCAAATGGTACACAACATCTATATCTGCTGAGATTTCACTCATAACGTTTGACTTAAATTCTGCACTGGTCCCATATAGCAAACAGTAAGAGGAAAGTTCTTAAAATTCAGCATGCTGAGAGAAAGGACAAAGTGTCTGTGACTAAATGGCTGTCCATTTCTGTCCCAAAAATACACTTTTCGTTTTGAAATAACGCATTGTGCAATTTTATTTAAAAGTCAGTCACAGACGTTGGAGAGTCAACTAAGCTACAAATGAAAAGAAAAAAAATATCCAAAAAACGAAAGTATTGATGAGGCCTTTAATTCATAAACATGAAAACAATACCCTAATTTTATATTATACACATAACATAAAAGAATAATAAAAAATGAAAATAAAAATAAAAAGCCATGTTTATACCCACAAATCTTACATTTTTTAAAGAAATAACCTAAGATTAACACAAATAAAAATGAGAAAAATATTTGCTTTTTTACACTTTGAGGTGAAAGTAGAGGAAGACGACTGTTGTATCTTTTCACAATTTAAGATTCATGACAAACCTGCATTTAAGTAAACTTATGCACATTAGAAGCCAACTTGAGTTAGAGCATTTGTATACTTAAAGCCACTAAGGTATTTGCGTATTTGTTCTCAGGAGAAAAGTTTGATAGTTAAAATAACATTTACATCAGTCACTTCTTACCCTGGTCCGTCTGAAGTTTCTGTGACATTTTCCTCCTGAGCAGTTAGCAAAACTTGGGACACTTTATACTGAGTCTCCAAGAGTAGAAGGGTATTGAGCTCACAGCACAGCACATTTAACAACCTGCAGGACACATTGAAATGATACCACATCACTCAGGAATCCAGCAATTCAGAGTAAGAGGCGAATGTATTTACGAGATCTCAAAATGGAAAGAAAAACCCCCAAACCCAAAAGACTTGAAGTGTCTGACGAATACCCAGACACAACTGCATCAGGAACAATCTTTTATATTCTTTTTAGCCACTCAAGTGGCACAGCCTTCAGCAAACAGGGAACGGTTCACAACAGACTTTTTGCGTGTACTGAACAACCAGAGAAAATAAGTCACTGGTCAGCTCAGTCCGCTTTTGAGTTCATATCACAGAATAACAAAAGCGACACAAACTTAATACGACATTCTACATGAAATGTGAAGAAATTAAACAATAATAGGCTGGAAAGGCAACTCAGAATCAGGTTGTTCAAAGCAGGGGGAGGGAGGGAGATGAAAATACATCTTTCCTTTAGAAAACAGGCTTTTAAGCATTTCTGTATAATCAAATTTAACACAATTCAAAAGCAATAAAAGATTTAATGTAACAAAACCAACAAATCTGCTGGTGGATTTTTTTTTTTTTTTATTTCAGAGAAACATGAAGCAATGATAAATGAAATTAACAATCACAAGAGCACATGACAGCACATTACATAAAATTTTCTTTTATAACTTCGGGGCACATTAACAGTGAAAGTACTCCAATATATTTCATGTAAATCTGACGTAGGGCAATCCAAATCATACTACTTTTTTTTTTTTTTAACTAATCTATTCAGTGTAATACTGGAACAGAATACTTTCATTGAAGGCTTCCTGGTCATGGGAAATAGTATGACTATTCTTGTTGCTATTTTTATTTTCTGGTTTATCACAGTCATAAAACGCAACATAAATTAAGTCTGATCAGCATTATATTTTGCATTCACATAAGACTTGATATGAACTAGAGAATACATATTGTTTGAAATTCGTAGTCTGCTAGTCAATGCTTATTTTCTTCCATGTAATTCCCTATATGCTTCTACTGACAATAGCAAAAATTTGCAAGACATCCTCTGGATAATTTAACACCTGCAAATTCATACAGTTGTGGCCAAAGGTTAAACAGTCAAGATGATAATATGTCTGTTGCTGTTGTTCCTTTTTTAACATAACTTGATCTTTTCAGTTTCAGTCCGCTTCCAAGTTTTATTATTTTACATTAACTGTTTCCTGACATTGATTTGTTCTCAGTACTCTTCTAAATCACAGAACAAATGACAGTTCAACTATGATTTTTTTATTATTATTATTATATAGAAGAAAAATTCACAAAAAGAGCATTGAAACCATTATGAGGATGGACCATTTCTTCCGTTAAGAATGATGACTAACTGGCAAAGAACCTGTTTCCAGCAGTTAAAAAACACTTGGGAGGAGACTGATGGCCGAGAATGCTTATAACGCCTCCTCTGGTACACAAGGCAGAGCAAAAAAAAAATAGAACAAACCATAAGCAAATAAAACTAGGTAGACGGGATAGTGGTAAGATAAATGAAAAAAAATATACAAGATCTAACATGAGTAGCCTCTGCTGGGGCATTCACATGAAAATTTCATCTACATGGAAAAATCCATTTAAAATGCTGTCACTGAAGTACAGTTATTTGGTTAAAGGTAATATCCCATTGCTTTACCTTCCTTCCAAAGTCATAAATATGTAGAATAAAGTTTGAAACAAACAAACAAAAAAAATCACATTTTATAGTGTGTATATTTATGAGCATGTTTGAATATGGCTGGGGGGGTTTTCTCTTTTGTTTGTTTTTAATTGCATTCGGAACATGAGAATTGGATGACACCACCCAGCTCAACATCCTACCTATAAGGAGTGCACGGTTATGGAAAGGTATAAAACCTTGACAGATACAACACTGAAAATCGGAAGACATACTTCGGTGCAAGGTCTTGTGACCTGGGAAGGAACAACCCCACGTGACAGTACAGGCTGGGGTCTGACAAGTTAGAAAGCAGCTTTGCACACAAAGACCCAGGGGTCCTGGTGGACAACAGGTTGAACACGAGACAGCAACACGCCCTTGAAGGCCAACATCATCCTGGGCTGTGTAAGGAAGAGTGCTGCCAGAAGGTCATGTGACCCTTCTCCTCTACCAGTACTGGTGAGGTCATACTTGGAGTGCTGGGTCCAGTTCTGGGGTCCCCAATAAAAGCATGACATGGACACACTGGAGGAGGTCCAGCAAAAGACCGCAAACATGATTAAGGGCTTGGGCTATCTGACATAGGGAGAGAGGCTGAGAGAGCGGGGGACTGCTCAGCCTGAAGAAGCGAAGGCTCAGGGGAGATCTTGTCAATGTGTATAAATACCTGACAGGAGGGTTTGAAGATGGAGCCAGACTCTTCTCAGTGATACCCACTGCAAGGACAAGAGGCAATGGGCATGACTTGAAACACAGGAAATTCCATTTTAACATACTATGATGATGGTGAAACAGTGGAACAAGTTTCCCAGAGACTTTGCAGGATTGCCAGCCTTGGAGATATTCTAAACCAGACTGGACGCAGCCCTGAGTAATGCTCTCTAGTCGAACACACTTCGAGCAGAGCAGCTGGACTACACAACCTTTAATCTCCCTTTCAATCCCAATTCTGCAATTCTGTGAAAACTACTAATAAGATACACCATATTCCCAGGAACAAACTGCAATACAGATAAAATAAAAGGTTATCTGAAGGCAGCCTTTTACAGAACAGTAATTTTAAAGAAATTCAGAAAAATCAAAATACATATCATAGTTGTGAAAATATGGCAGTAATAAGTAATTTTGTTTCTGAATTCTGAATTTCTTGTCCTATGCCATCCCTCTTTCTCAGATTGTGCTCCCCAGGATTCTCCCCCTTCAACTGTAATTTCACAACTAATACTTCACTGTAGAAATCTCTAGTCTGAAAGAAGGCACACTAACTAGTACTTGTGTACCTTTGTAAACTACCTCCCTCCTTGGTTTTGGTAGGTGGAATTATGATGACTTCTTTCATTACGGCAGAACAGAAGGTTCTTCATGGGATACAAAACAGCTAGTAAATAAGTCTAGCTGTTAAAAAAAAAAAAAACTTGTTAATTTTTATGCTGCTCCTCTAAATTTTTTCACCTGAAAATACTATAAATAAACCACCTATGAATTTCTCCAAGTTGCTAAAAACACCCGTTATGAGGACAGCTTATTATCGTATTTCTCAATAGTTTTTCTATGATTTCCTTTTAAGAACACAAAATAATATGATGTTCCCTGTAGTCCTGCTTTCTCAGTTGTCTTTTTCTTTTTTTCTAACTTCAAATCACATCTCTTTCAAACACCACCTTTATTATGGTAATTCTAGTTTTCTGCAGTTCCTGCTACACTCCCACAGACTTCTTCCTTACTTTCATAACGTATGTCCTTTCCAAAGACAATCTGATGCTCCGTCCTCACTTCCGGGATGCCTGCAAATGCTCAGCTGGCAGTGGAAGATGCAAGATACCGTTCTCGATACAGTAGTTGTAATAGTTTGTGGTGGGCTGATAGCAGCCAGCAATTAAGCACCCACCCAGTTGCTCATTCACTCCCCAGCTCCCACAAGCAGACCACTGCCTAGCCAGTCTCTGAGCAATGGCTACCTG